TTGCTCACTGGCTCGAGGTTCACCGCCAAACTTCCTGAAGTACTGTTCAAATTTGTTAGGAAAAGCCTTATTCAACAGCTTCCAACGAATGCTAATCTATTTAGATGGGGAAAATCGTCTTCTGCCATTTGTACACTTTGCAATGCTCGGCAAACCAACAAACATGTCCTATCCAACTGCAGCTCGGTGGCAGCATTAAAAAGATACACAACACGCCATAACAATATTCTAAATATAATAATAGAAAAATTGAAATCATGCGCAGGACCAGAGGTTGCGATGTATGCAGACGTCGTTTATGATGGGATCCGCCCACTGTCGTGTCTCTTCAAATCACTTCGTCCCGACATCACACTACTCCGTGACAACACAATTGAAATATTGGAGCTCACCGTCTGCCATGAGTCTAATTTTTTCAATTCAAAACAATATAAAATGGACAAATATTCTAATAACCTCCATAACAATTTACTTGACAATTTAAAACATTTAAAAATAATAATCAACACGTTCGAAATTTCGCCGCTAGGTTTTTTCAATTGTTTCGATTTGTCGCTGGTCGACATTATTTGGTCTGATCAATTTTATAGTAGTCTTATTAACTCTGCGATATCCTCATCATACGCTGTTTATTGTGATAGAAATTTGACGGAATGAATCAATGTAAAACTAATCTGTTCTCGTTGTACTCATTTCGTGTTTCTTTCACTGAATGACGAGCTACGTAGAATACGCTTTTATAATTCTTTTTTTTTTTTTTTTTGTTTTTCTCTACCTAAATCATTTTTGATTTATTATTATTATTATATATTTATTTATCTTATAATTATTTTACGTTATACAATATTTAATTTTAACATTTTATTGACATATTTTATTTTGACTATTTTTGATTTTACTGGTTTTCTCTGAATAATAAAAGAGTTTACATTATTATTATTATTATTAAATAGGGATAATAATAATTTCATGTAATCTAGACTGGCGGATACCAACAGAGCCATATGGAAGGCGGGGTAATTACTTTTTTTATTATTTATTATTATTATTGTTATTATTATTATTATTATTTATTTATTATTATTATTTATTATTCTTCTTCCGTACCTCAAAACAAATACATACAAATAAGTTTACATAAGTTAATTTAAATAATAGTAGTAAAATAATTATAACAACAATAATATAATATAACATTTATGAAAGATATAATAATAATATTAATAATAATTAACAATAATAATAATAATAATAAATAATAATAATAACATACAATTGCGTTAAATCAAAAAATTGTGGTTGCTTCTTCTCGACTAGGCAGCTTTAATTTTTTGTTGCCCCGAGTCTGAAAATTGTTGGCAATTTTTAACCAAAACCTTAAAGACCTGTGGCATGAAATGTGTGTGTGTGCGTGTATGTGTGTGTGTGTGTGCGTGCCTGCCTGCCTGCGTGCGTGTGTGTGTAAAATTATTACCATTTGTTAACACATTTATAATAATAATAATAGTTATTATTAATATTTTAATTAGCTTTCTTTGGCGGTGAAAGAGAACGGGGTAAGATGACAAAAGTTTCATCATCTACTTCTTCTTCATCATCTTCTTCTTCTTCATCATCTTCTTCTTCTTCATCATCTTCTTCTTCTTCATCATCTTCTTCTTCATAATCTTCACCATCATCACCATCATTATTTGTTTTATACGCGGTAGATGTTTTTTGATTAATAAACATCTAATTAATTTGATTAATAAAACTTTTTGCTATGAGGGCCGCATTGAGAGCTATTTTACCTTTGAAGGGCCGCAATTTACTTAAATATCAAATTTTTTCGATCCGGGGGAGAATTTATAATACTTAACATCATCGTCTTCTTCTTCTTCACCATCATCATCATTATCGTCTTCTTCTTCGTCATCATCATTATCGTCTTCTTCTTCGTCATCATCATCATCGTCGTCCTCCTCATCATCATTATCATTATCATCAGCATCATCATCCTTTTCTTCATCATAAGTCACCATTATCACCATCACAGCAACCATCATCATCATAATGAATGTTTTCTTTAGTGTAATTAAGTAGTTTTGTCGATTTTAATTATTATTTTTAACTAACATAACAGATTTCTGCTAACCCTGTGAGTTCATTTAATATTGATCAATCAATTAATCAATCAATCAATCGATCAATCAATCAATCAATCGATCAATCAATCAATCTGTAGTAGTAGCAGTAGTAGTAGTAGCAGTAGTAGTAATTGTAGTAGTAGTAGTGTAAAATTTTTGTTATTTTTATGATTATTATTTTTTTTATAGCCCTTTTTTGGCTTTGGTAGCATGTCTCAATTTTTTAAGGTAATCATTCATTCTTTCGTTCATTCACTTGTTTGATTGTTGAATTATTCATTCTATCATTCATTCATCCATTCATTTGTTCATTCATTCATCCATTCATTCATCCATTCATTCCTTTATTCATTCATCCATTCATTCATCAAATTAATAACCCATTCATCCAGTTAATTTTCACCATCATAATCGTCGTCACCATTATCATCATCGCCATCATCACCATCTTCAACATTGTCACAAGGAGGGGAAAGCCAAAGTGGTGCATGATACAGTCGGGGAAGTTTTGGTGAATAATTCGTCCTTTTAATTCATTCATTCATTTCTTCATTCATTCGCTCTTTTCATTCATTCATTCATTTCTTCATCATTCATTCATTCATTCGTTCGTTCTTTCATTCATTCATTCATTCGTTCTTTTCATTCAGTCATTCTTTCATTCATTCATTCGTTCTTTCATTCGTTCTTTCATTCATTCGTTTTTTTTCATTCATTCATTCTTTCACTCGTTCGTTCTTTCATTCATTCATTCATTCGTTCGTTCAATCATTCATTCATATATTTATCATTCGTTTCTGTTAAACATTGCCTTAATTGATTTAAACCGTACATCAATTTACTTGAAGAGGATGAGTGAAACTTGAGTTTAGTAGTTTCAAAAGTGATTCAAGCCACGTTTCTAATATGGCAGGATGGGTCAGACCAAATAATGTTTACAAGAGATAAATTAAATATACTAAACAAACCTAGAGTCGAGATTTCGAATGTATTTATGTATTTGTTTTTAAATGTTTAAAGTCGTCAATGAAGTTATTATTTTGCAAGTTACCAGAGTATTTAGATAGTCTGTATTCTTTAGAATTTAGAAGGTTAGTCTCGTGACAGACTGTTAATTGCATATTCCAATTGTTTCGTCTCGTAACAATGCGATATCTGGTCGCAGTGATTTAAGTAAGCCAGATAGTGGCTGAAATTTATCTGCCTTTAGATCTGCAAAAATGCAGACTTCTCGGTCGGTGCATGATTTCATTTTTTGCAAGAATTATTGCTAGAATTTTGTTGTGTCTTGTTGTGTACCTCTTAAACTCTGAAGTTAAGCTGCAGTTGGAGAGTACATGTTTGTTAGTCTGTTGATTGCTGCATAGTGAAGACTAGGCTGTGGAAGACTTTTCCCATCGGGAGAGATTTGCATTTGTCGGCAAACCTAAACAGAATCTCTGGAGAACTGGCAATGTACCGCTACCAGTGAGCTTGCCTTCATCATTGTACCCTGA